CAGGAATGATACATGTTGGCATTTTGTTTGGTTTTTTCCCCCCAGGAAAGAAAAAATCTCAGGAAAGTAAAAACAAGGGGAAGAAAGCAGTGGATACGAAACAGAAAAAGGCTGATTTGGACTCTACTTCTGCAAATATGAGGGATTCTAAAGAAGGTGAGTTTTCAAGTATCTCCTTTTTATTTATTCCTTCTAACTGTCTCTTATTATCAAAGGATTCTTTTTGTCATGTTTAATATGTTAGCATCTTATGTTACTGTATCAAAGTTAACATGTTTATATTTTGCCCAAACCTTTTTATTAGTGAGGAACTTGGATAATCAGAAGTTTGGAATTAAGCATGTAACTCTGACAGCACAAAAATCTAACATACTGTAAAATTTAGAAAGAAATCCAAATTTCTTAGGACAGAAGAGCATATAAAAGTCCTTATTCTAAAATAATGTCTTTGGAGCATAGTTACACAGTTACTATTTACTGCTATTTAACAGAAGTCAGTGTCAAGGGGAAAAAATACAATATTAATGCACTGACCAGCTGAGTGTACTGTTTGTCCTAAAGATTTTTTGCAAATGCTATTTATAAATTTACTTGGCTTTTGTCATGTACTGTTAATGTAAAATTGCCTGAAAGATATTTTAAATACATAATTCTTGGTCTGTATTACAAGAATGTAAAACTTGCCCCTACTGTGAGTATAAGTGATAATGCAAACATTAAGCAGAGGTGGTTGCTTTCATTTTGCTAAAGTTGCAGAAATACAATTACTGAATACAGATTTACTCTTAGTGAGAAGTAGTGATCTTGTGTTGGCTCATACATGTTGGAAAAGTTGTGTTGAAGATAGAAGAAAGATGTAGCATACTAGGAAGGGACTGGTAAAATCTGTCTCATGCTTTTGTTTTCATCTGTTGTGTATCAGGTCATAAAGAGGAAGATGAAACACCTTCTGTTTCTGCTGTACTGTCCCTGGAACAAACAGCTGTGATTCAGGAAATGGTAAATCAAGATGTCCTTCCAAAGCTGATGGTCCCCAGTCCTACTAGTGAACCACAAGTGGTAACTGAAGACAAACAAGGAGAGGCAATAAACTGCGCATCAGATGATTTAGATGATGATGAAGAGGAGGATGATGATGAAGAGGAAGATGAAGAGGAGATAGAAGATACCAGCATGCCTAAAGAAAATGCTGGAATGCCTTTGATGTGCGAAGGGAAGTTAGATTCTATGGAAGAGCAGAAGAGTACATCAGAAGAGTCTCCAGAAAGCTCTCCAAAGAAAAAACTTGTGGTGAAAATTCCAAAAGCAAGAAGCGAATCAAATGGTGATGTTCAGGAAACCTTCATGTTCCCCTGTCAGCACTGTGAGAGGAAGTTCACAACGAAGCAAGGTCTGGAGCGACACATGCACATCCATATCTCCACTGTAAACCATGCCTTCAAGTGTCGGTACTGTGGGAAAGCCTTTGGCACTCAGATTAACAGGAGAAGACACGAGCGACGCCACGAGGCAGGGCCTAAAAGGAAACCCTTCTTAACACTAACATCATCACAACACTTGGATAATGTTGCTGATAACCAAGTCATTGTGGATGATGGTCTAAAAGATGACTTAAACATTTCTGGTCTTGTGCAAGACTCTGTTGTCTTGGATGCTGAGAAAGTTTCCCAAGAAATGTCACACTCTGCTTTTGCTGAGGAAAATAAGGAGCCCAAAGAATTGCATCCCTGCAAATACTGTAAAAAGGTTTTTGGAACTCACACCAACATGCGGAGGCACCAGCGCAGGGTTCATGAGCGTCATCTTATTCCCAAAGGTGTCAGAAGAAAAGGATTCTTCACTGAAGAGCCACCACTTCAGACAGAGCAGGCCCCACCAGTCCAGAGTGTATACATAGCAAGTACAGAAATAGAAGAGGAAGGTGAAGTAGATGATGTCTATATTATGGATATTTCCAGCAATATCTCTGAAAATCTAAATTATTATATCGATGGTAAAATCCAGTCCAACAGCAGCACTAGCAATTGTGATGTGATCCAGATGGAGTCCAACTCTGCAGACTTGTATGGGCTGAATTGTATCATCAGCCCAGTCACGGTGGAAATCTCCTCAAATTTAAAGGTGACACAAACACATGTGAATGAACCTCCCAAGGAACCCTCCAGTAGTGGGAGCAGTGAATCCAAAAAGAGGAGAACTGCCAGCCCTCCTCTTGTACCAAAAATAAAAACTGAAGTAGACCCAGAACCTATAACTCCTACTAATTCTTTAAATCTTCCTCTTAGCATTTCAACAGAAAGCTTACCTTTTCATAAAGAAAAAGGTGTTTATTTGTCATCAAAATTAAAGCAGCTTCTTCAGACACAGGACAGTAAGAAGGTAACTCCTTCAACTGAAATCCCTAAACTAGGACCTGCTGTTCCATCATCACCTATTTTGCCTCCAGGATCCAGCAGATTTAAAAGAAGGACCAGTTCTCCTCCCAGTTCTCCACAGCACAGTCCAGTACTTAGAGACTTTGTCAAATCAGGTGAGGGGAAAACTGTGTGGAGTGAGAATGTTCGGAGTTCAAAAATGCCAAAGTTAGAAAGCCACAGCAACTCACCTGCTTGGAGCTTGACTGGCAGGGAGGAAAAAGAGACCTCAAGCCCGCTTTGCTTTGAAGACTATAAAATATCAAAGGACTGGACAGCAGCTCCCACTTTTGGCAGCGTGTGCAACCAGCAGCCACTGGATTTATCCAGTGGTGTGAAACAAAGGTCTGATGCAAAAAATAAGAATCAGGTTCACTGTGAATCTGTGTTAGATTTAAGTGTGCATAAGAAGCCGTGCAACGATGCTGAATTTAGGGAATACAAAGAAAATGCCATCCAGCCAACCTGTAGTGGTGTTAAAAAGAAGAAACCAACCACCTGCATGTTACAGAAGGTTCTGCTGAATGAGTATAACGGCACAGATGCAGCCCCAGACAGCACAGCCAGTGCCAACAGGAGTGTGAGCCCCAGCAAATCCCTGGAACCTCAGGCAGAACCTGAGGTGGATCCCAGTCAGTCTGCATCATCTTCTGTTGACACTCAGCCCCTCAGTTCCTCCATTTCCCCTGTGCCACAGGCACCTGCTGTTCCTGCCCTGTGCCAGCTGCCTCCTTTGTTAATCCCAACCAATCCCCCTTCCCCTCCACCCTGCCCACCCATGCTGACAGTGGCTACATCACCTCCTCCCCTTCTTCCAACAATGCCGTTATCGATCCCAGAGGTCTCTGTCAGTGCCACTAACACTTCTTCTTGTCCATCCCCACTTTCCAACACTACTGCTCAGTCCCCACTACCAGTTCTTTCACCTACAGTTTCTCCTTCTCCATCTCCTGTTCCTTCTGTTGAACCTCTTATTTCTGCTGCTTCACCTGGTCCTCCTACACTGTCTTCGTCATCTTCCTCCTCCTCTTCCTCCTCCTTCTCCTCCTCTTCATCTTCATCATCTCCATCTCCACCTCCTCTTTCTGTAGTTTCCTCTGTCGTTTCCTCTGCTGATAATCTCGAAAATACTCTCCCAATAATAAAACAGGAAGAAACTGAAACTGAGCAGCAGAAAGCAAGAGAAGATCCTCACACTTCCAGTGAATCAGGAGTAGTGCAGGAAACATTCAATAAAAGCTTTGTGTGCAATGTCTGTGAATCACCTTTTCTTTCCATTAAGGACCTAACGAAGCATTTATCCATTCATGCTGAAGAGTGGCCCTTCAAATGTGAATTCTGTGTACAGCTTTTTCGGGATAAAACAGACCTGTCGGAACATCGCTTTCTGCTTCATGGAGTAGGAAATATCTTTGTTTGCTCCGTCTGTAAAAAGGAATTTGCTTTTTTGTGCAATTTGCAGCAGCACCAGCGGGATCTCCATCCAGACAAAGAGTGCACACACCATGAGTTTGAAAGTGGGACTCTGAGACCCCAGAATTTTACTGACCCCAGTAAGGCCAATGTGGAGCACATGCAGAGCCTGCCAGAAGATTCCTTGGAACCTTCTAAAGAGGAGGAAGATGAAGATCTAAATGATTCCTCTGAAGAGCTTTATACTACTATAAAAATAATGGCTTCTGGAGTAAAGTCTAAAGATCCAGATGTTCGCATGGGTCTCAATCAACACTACCCAAGCTTTAAACCACCTCCATTTCAGTATCACCATCGTAATCCTATGGGTATTGGAGTTACTGCAACCAACTTCACTACCCACAATATTCCACAGACTTTTACTACTGCCATTCGATGCACAAAATGTGGGAAGAGTGTTGATAACATGCCCGAGTTACACAAACACATACTGGCCTGTGCCTCTGCCAGTGATAAAAAGAGATACACACCTAAAAAAAATCCAGTACCACTGAAACAGACAGTGCAGCCTAAGAATGGGATGGTGGTCATAGCTGGCCCTGGAAAGAATGCCTTCAGACGAATGGGTCAGCCTAAAAGACTCAATTTCAATGTTGAGATTAGCAAAATGTCCTCAAATAAACTAAAAATAAGTGCATTGAAAAAGAAAAACCAGCTCGTCCAGAAAGCTATCTTGCAAAAAAAGAAATCTGCCCAGCAGAAGGCAGAGCTGAAAAACAATCCATCTGAGTCAGACTCTCACATCTGCCCCTACTGTAACAGGGAGTTCACTTACATTGGAAGTTTGAATAAACACGCATCCTACAGCTGTCCCAAAAAACCCATCTCTCCCTCCTCGAAAAAGAATTCTTCCAAAAAAAGTGCCAGTTCCTCACCTGCAAACAGTGAGAAAGGCAGCAACCAGCGGAGGAGAACAGCAGATGCAGAGATCAAAATGCAAAGCATGCAGCCTCACCTGGGCAAAACAAGAGCACGGACCTCAGGACCTGCACAGCTCCAGCTTCCCTCTGCATCCTTCAAATCCAAACAAAATGTTAAGTTTGTACCTCCCATTCGGTCTAAAAAGCCAAATTCATCTTCATCCTTGAGGAACTCTAGTCCTGTAAGAGTGTCCAGAATGTCCCATGTTGATGGGAAAAAAACTAAGGGGGTGGCTAAGAACAGTTCCTCTGGAATCTCCAGCAAAGCATCCCGGAAATTGCATGTCAGAATACAAAGGAATAACAAAGCTGTTCTACCAAGTAAGTCTGCTGTGGCAAGTAAGAAAAAGGCAGACAGATTCACTGTAAAATCCAGAGAGAGGATTGGAGGACCCATTACTCGGAGCCTTCAGCAGGCAGCAAATGCAGAGGCAGCAGAAAACAAAAGAGATGAAAGCAGTACAAAGCAAGAGCTAAAAGATTTCAGGTAAGCATTTCCTTTGAAACATCCCAGGAACACGTTGCTTGCTGGTTTTCTCATTTTCTTGGTCTTCTTGAGATTCTTATACTTAAATAATAAAAAATGCATCTCCTAAAATGTGGTTTGGTAGCTCAGTCCTGAGGTCTGATGTACATACTTGATGCATTTTGTCATGTTGTCCTGAAAGAACACATTGTATAGAGAATGTCTTCAATTATAAACTGAATCAAAAACTCTGGAAAAAATGTCCATACTTGAGTGCTAATAAACTTAATGTCATTAAACCTATTGTCATTGGAGACCATGACCTTGTATTTGATCCCTAACATATATTGTGGCCCAAAAATCATTCTGAATTTAGTTTATGGAGGTTCACTAAGCTAAAAAATCATGGCTGCCTTTTTTTTTAACTCACTAAAATAACTTGCATTGTTGGTTTTTAATAAAAAACATTCTCTGCGTATCATATGAAAAGAAAAATAACCCATGACCAAATACTTCAAAAATGTATGTGCATTCTGAGATCATCAAATACTTAATGGAAGGGAAATAGACATGTAAGAAAAGTTGCATGAACATGTACATTTGTTAAAAGTGTCATGCTCTTATGTTTCAGTATAAACATTTTATAATTAAATTCCTACTTCTTTTTGAGAAGCAGCATTCTAATCACAAGAAAGGCTAAGATTTCAATAAATAAAATCTTAATCTATGTGCCTTGAGTCCCAACTTGCTGTAGTCTCTCAAATCAGGAAGATAAACTTGCAAACTGTTGATAATTTTTATTAGCCTACTCCTGCCCTGTTGTTCTTGGAAATAGGGATCTGATTTCACTTTCACAAAGCTCACTGGTTAATTAAGAGTTCTTTTGGTTTTGCTAATTGCTGTGATTAACACCAGGTGTATGGCTGAAGGGAGCATTTTTTTAATCAAATTGATAGTGGAGGAGAGAGAGGAACTGGCTGCTTCCTGCAGGACAAGTTTTCCCTGGTAGAATTGGTCAGGAAGTGTCAAAATCCAAACTGTTGGCAGCTGGTGTGTGTTACAGTGAAGATCTAGGTACAAATTGTGAAGAAATACTTTATAAAGGCTCAATGTAACAGAATTCTTTCCAAGAGGTAGGTGGGGATTTGACTTCAAATAGTCAAAACCCAAATTAGAACATGGTGAAGGAGAAAAACGTTACTGGGATTTGGAGATGTCCTGGTTTGAGCCAGGATGAATGGTTTTAAAAATGGGGGTAAGGAGCAAGGACTGTCCAGCAAGCCTGTTCTCTTGGGGACATCATCTTCATGTTGCTTAATTCTCATCAGCTGCTCTCTTAGTGTTATGTTTAAGACTGTATTTTACACAATGCCAGAACAGATCAGAATTGGAAGCCAGGATGACATGTTTCCATCTAAATTAAGCATTTGGACCTTCAGCAAAATAACAAACTTGGAAATCTGTGCATATGGAAATAATTTAATAGCATTGGGGGTAAAAACCAGTTTACCCAGGGGTAAAATTTCCTTGATTGTCTCAAATACTGTTAGTTTGCTTTGGCAGCTTGCAGCCTTTGCTGGTTTATTGAATAGTTCTAGAAGAATTCTTGCTTTGTTTCTGAAATAACATTCATAAATCTAGATGGTTTAGTCAACTTTTTTAATGTCAAGCATGTAGTATGAAGAATTTTTTTACATACACTAGGATCAGCACAGGCTGAGGTCAAGCCTACTCTACATAGGCTCTGTTGGGTATTTTTTTCCAGAAAATCTTAATTCTTAATATTCTTTCAAGACTTGCTTTGTGTAATATTTATCTCCAGATTTGTTTTTCACCTTTCAGTTTTTCTGTGTAAACATTACTCGGTTCACAAGTAGTTTGTTTTGTCATTTATCCTCAGTTTTTGTTTTTTATTTTCTAGGAACATCCTGTAAAAAAAACAAACCAAACCAAAACCTCCCTTAATGCCATGGTAGAGCTGTTGCATTCTCAACTTAGGATAAGCACTACGACAGTGGCTGTGAAATCCACCAAGCTTCTGAAACCAGCTGAAGCTGACTCTCAGTCAGAAAATTGCCTGCAGGCTTCTTGCTAATATTCAATGGCAGGCATAGATTTTCCTATTTGGTGCCTGACACACTTGCTGGGCTACAGGATAATTCAGATAAAAAGAGAAGGGTACTCTTAAAAACAAAACCAAACCCATGTGAAGCCATCCAAAAAAAACCATAGTGGGATTTGCTAAAATGAATTCAACCAAATCTTTTGCTCTGGTGTTTGCTCCTGTCCTGGTTTTGTTCATGAATGGCAGGCAGGTCATGTGTACTTTGGCAAAGCAGATTCCTTCATTTTGTCAATAATTCAGTGTAGATTCAGGGACAAGAAATGTTGCTGCACTCAAAAGTATTCTTGTTGTAAGTCTCTTAAAGCCTTTTGTCTAAATGAATCATTAGAGGCTGACCCAGCAGACAGAATTTCCCTTTCTTCCCACCTTCTCCTCACTTCCTGAGTCTTTTAGCTGTCCAGCATACAATTGGGAAAGCCTGATTGGGATGTTTTATGGATTTTCCAAATCCCTATTTATACCTGCAAATGAAACTTTATATAGCAATGAAATATCAGTTTCTAAATACCATATATATAATGAATGCAGTGTATCTTTTTATCAGTAAGAAGGCTAGACCAGGACTACATACCTGTATATTTTGAAAGTTAAAGATATAATTATGCTAAAAGTTCATACACCTCTTAATAACTTAAAGAAACAAATTGGTCTGTTGTTGGTAACAACTTTTTATGGAAATCCCCTTTGTCATGTGTTCATAGAGCTTTCAAGATTAATGACAGAATTGATGGAAAGTGACTAGTTTCTTTATACAGCCACCCCTTTTATTTTTATTTTTATTCTTAAAAAGTAATCTACCTCTTAAAATTTGTAGTTTAATATTTGTTTGGTGAATTTGTGCCACTTTAACTTTCACTTTCACTATCATTCCCATTTTGTTACATTTCTGTTATGGGGGACTTTATGTTGAAATATTGTATAAAGCATTTGTAGCAAGTTTAAAAAAAATAAAATATTTAAAATTATTTAAATTGTTTTGGACACTTCAATTGTACTATATGTGATTTACATTTTACATTAATTTCATTTTGTTTTCATTTTGGGTTGTTAATCTTGGAGCATGTTTCCTGTATTAAAGTTTGCTGTTAGTTTATATTGTTTCTTCTATTGGAGAGTGATATAAAGACTATTCTAATGCAAATATTAAAAAAATCACAATTTGACATAAAAGTGGGGTTGTCATTGCTTTTGAAGATGATATAAATGCAGGTAAGCAACTGAAGAGGGATTTTTCTTCTCCAGCATGTACCTGTCAGATGTATTAAAAAATCTCTGGTGTTGCAAGCACTTAATGACCAACTAGATGGAACTATCATGACACATTTTATATAACTGTAACCAATAAAGTAAACTTTTTAAAAACTCGTGGGAAACTTGCCTTTTGTATGGAAACCAGATGTAGCAGGGGAAAAGGAAACAATGTACATCTAGAAGGAATTAAGTGTCCTTGCAGCTTTAGTAGTTTCTGCACTGAAAGAGATTTATACCAGTTTGACACTTCTGAGTTAGTCTTGGGGCTTTACTTTTTAATTGTGGCTGCAGCTAATGCAGTTCAAGTGATTTAATTAAAATTATATGCACGGTTGCAAATATTTTTTTTTTATGTTCTATTTTTATATGCTTTTAAACTTGTGCAATAGCTTAATTAAAAAAATATGCATCAAAAGTGTTGGCTCTGCTGAGGATTTTGGGAAGTTTCATTCCAACCCTATGGTATGTTTGCTGCCTCTCCTGCACTGGAGCTGGGGCATCTGTGTCTTGTGTGGCAGTTGGATGGGTTAAGGTGACATAGTTAAGAGTTAACAGTACTACAGTAGCCCATTTCTTAACCCATTCACTACTTAACCCAGTGGTAAGTTAATATTTTATATAATTGTCTGTGGATACTTATGTTTGAGTAAGATTCTTCAGCAAGAACTTGTTCATTTTCTCATGGAATGTGGCATTCCTTGCACGTTACCCTCCACATATCAAAGTTTTTCCTGGATTTTAACTGAAAAGGAAACCTGGTACCATGGACAAGTTCTGATATTGCTCACTGAGTGTTTTTTAGGCAGGTCTGCTTTGTGGTGACACAGTCTGCAGTCTGTTCTCTGCACCACAATTAAAGGGGTGAATTCTTAGTCTGTCTTACAGCAGCAATTACACCAACTAGGTGGCAGGACAGCCACAGTGGAGGATTTTTGTATTGATCAGGCTTTACTGTGTTTACCAAAGTGAACACATTTTGCTTTGCATGCTCATGATTGGGTTTGGATGTTTTATTAGAATTAGGAAACATGATAAAAAGCTACAAACCCTCCTGTAGTTTTGAAGTCACTCTGGGTGGGATGTAGATTTGTTGTTACATCCTGATTTCATATCTGTCTGCTGCTGCTGCCAGCTAAAACACCAGCTGGTGTTTGGTCTTACTGCATTCTGGGGTTTTTGGTCACCTTGTATGATTTATGGGAGATTTCAAGCACTGAACTCATGGTAAATAAACCAGCTTCTTTCCCTCATTCCCTAATATTGTGGCAGGAATCCTCTTGTCATTGTCTTTACTGTTTCCCTGCCGTGATGTTCAATCCTGTTGTGTCTCAAGGTTGTTGCTCCCTTGAGATGGTTCACACGTTTGCACACACCAGTTTGCCAGGTCAGTGCTGTGTGGTGGAGACTGGTGTTCCTCAGTGAGACCTGATCAGCAAGGAAGAAGTTTCATTCCTGAACAGACTGATCACAGATAGGAAATGTACAACTTCTATAGTTACCACTGCAGCTCATCTGCATAATTGAATTTCTATGGCTCTTATAACTGCCTTTTTATTATCTGAATGCACCAATAAAGCTGTAACAGTGCCCACAATGTGCTGACAATTCTTGAAATGCATCCAAGCAAGCAATGAAAACAATTAAACTTGTCCTGGTTACAGAGACTGACACGCTGGTCAAGATCAAAGGCAGTGTTGGTTTAATAAAACCACTAACACTGGAGTGTTTGGAGAGGGGACATTTAACACTTCGACCTTTGTTTTTTTTCCTTTATCCAGTTTGCTAGAAGGAGTTAAAACCAGCTTGTATCAAGAGCATGTGGTAAATGTGTTCAAGCCCCTAGGGACTGCAGGACAGACCAGAGCTGCAGCCAGGCCCCCTGCACGTGGTGTGTCCTGCCTTGCTCTGGCAGCTCCTGGCTCTTAAGAAGGGTGAGCTGCTTGCAGTTGATTTAGGCTGCTGGATTTCTGGTTCTGTGTTTTGTTGGCAATTTGTATTGTAAGCCTTTTATTTAAAGTGTTCTAGCTCAGTTCCTGATGGTTTTCTATAGGGAGCTGTAATAGGAAACTAGATCCTGGCAGTTTGGTGGGTAAATTTTCAATTTCAAATGTAGAAGTGAATAGCACTGTCTTCACTGACTGAGGGCTGTGACTTCATTTCCAAAATTATGGGGTCAGTTCCAGTTTTTACTGAAGCCCAGTTCAGCTAAGAAGCTGAGTGGCAAACCTGTGACAGACAAATAGCTGGCAGATGACCTTAAAAACAGAACTTAGAAAAGGGTACATACTAATTCTAGCTTTTATTTACTGGATGTGGGTTCTTCATGAGTCACAGGATACTCTGTTTCTATTCATGATGAAAATGAGCTAAAGGATAGATTGTGAACAACAACTGCTGAGCTGGATCTGAGCTTTTGTGGTAAGTGAATGATGAAAAAGAGGTGAACTTCTACAGCTTCTGTTTATTGGTAAAGAGTTAGAGAAGCTCTTGGGACTAGCCTGAAATGTCATAGTAGTAACTGAAGAGACACTGATACCAGTATAAAGCAAAGCTGAGTTTGGGTCACATCTGTACAGGATGTAAAAAATAGAATATTAATAATTTTAAAATTAATGTTTGGTGTTTTTAAAGTCATAGTGGGAGTTTTGGGAAGTGCTCAGCAGTAGCATGAGCAGATCTTGCAGGAGTTTACTGGGAATTCTGTAAAGCTTCACCTGCACAGCCACAATGATCTGAATTAATTTTTGAAGTGGATTTTTCCATTTAAACTTCTTGGGCAGCCAGTTGTTCCAAGATCTAGTGAACTGAGAGCTAAAAAAGAGATGCTTTTAAAAATACTTGAGAATAATGTACAAGCTCAAATGCTTAAGAGACTGGAGAAGAGCTGATATGTGGATATCGTGTCATGTGATGATACTGTGTCTTTTTGGTAAAACCCAGGTCATTTAATTCACAAGGAGACTTGTGCTACTTCTCATTCCCTCTGTCAGTCAAAAATGTAGAATGATCTTGGATCTGGGCCTGTTTCAGCAGAAGCTGCCTCAGCTGTGGCCTTCCAGTATCTGAAGGGGCTCCAAGAAAGTTGGGGAGAGGCTTTTGATAAGGACTTGTAGTGAGGGGACAAGGAGGAATGGATTAAAACTGGGAGAGGGGTGATTTAGGTTGGACATGAGGAGGAAGTTCTTTAGTGTGAAGGTGGTGAGACACTGGAACATGTCCAGAGAAGCTGTGGCTGCCCCATCCCTGGCAGTGTTGAAGGGCAGGTTGGATGGGGCTTGGAGCAGCCTGGGCTGGTGGGAGGTGTCCCTGCCCATGCAGGGGGGTTGGAACTAGATGATCTTTGAGGTCCCTTCCAACACAAATCATTCCATGATTCTATTAATTCTCTCTGCAGTCCAAGCAGTGCTACTCTGCAAAGTTAAAAACAAATGTAAATAAGAGGACTTTTTCCAGGGAAGTGACTTTGAGGGTGTGCTGCCTGCTCAGGGCATGTGGAAGCTTGGCAGCAAGTGGGGACAGAAGAGAGCTTGATCTGGTCCCCTTGCTGTGGTTCCATGTTGGGCTGTGGGCACTGACACTGCTTTGGAGGGAAATGGCTTTGGGAGTGCTGGGCAGACTGAGCAAAGTCACTCTTATGCAGACTGTGAGTAGCAGGTAGTCATCTTC